TTGCAATTATGCTGCTCGCAGGCAGCTGCAGTGTACGACAATTTTCTCTTAACTAATGCGTTGCTTTCAATTACAATTCTCTTAAATAATCTTAAAACTAATTGAAATGCCTTTACATCGGCCACGTTGAAGGCACGTAGTGCTTCAAAAAATATTTGTAGGCAATGGCGCAAGACGGTGTATCGCCCAATTAAACAGCCCCGCCTTCGTCCTGACGGTTGCCACGCGCACTTCGTCATCGGCGCCTTTTGTCGTCTCCTCGACGACTCCCAGCATCCATTGCTGAGGAGGAGCGTTGTCCTCGTGGACGACTACGACGGCTCCTTTCTCCAGATTTGGACGCTCCACTGACCACTTCTGGCGCTGCTGCAGGCTCAGCAGGTAATCTTTGGACCAATCGGCCCAAATCCGCTGCTTGATGCCTGAGATCAGCTGCCAGCGTTTTAAGTACGTCAGTTTGACGTCTGTTACGAAATTGGTGGCATTGTCCGAATATATTCGCTTCACTGGTGCACGGTGGCCGACAAACCAAGACAGACACATTATAAACGAGTTAGCAGTCAGGTCTGTCACAACATCAATGTGCACAGCTTGGGAGGCAAAACATACAAAAACCACGAGATACATCTTGACCGGGGCTCTGCCACGAATTCCCATCGAGACATGTATTGAACCACAAAAGCCCACTCTGCTCACCTCAAATGGCCGACAGCCATGTAATCGGTCAGCGGGCAAATTTCTCATTATTTGGGTTGCTAGGATTGGTTTATACCTAAAGCAATGCACACACTGTCGCACCACTGCGCTACAAGCTTGTTGCGCATTGACAATCCAAACTTGTTGGCAAAGAATGCTAACGAGCGCACGTGGACCAGCGTGGCAATTAGTGCGATGTAAATACTGCAAGTATAACATCACGAATCGGCATCCCTTTGGCATAAGCAATGGAAATTTAGCATTATGAGGCAATGATGCCTTAAGCAAGCGACCGTCAACTCGTACCAAATTCAATTGACGATTTCCCATTCGAAATGGAAAATGGATTTAATTTTTGATACGAAGACTGCAGGATCGACTGTTTAGCTTTGAGATCTCGTCTGCAAAAGCTGTGTGTTGTACTACAACTATGTGGACAACTGCCAAAAACGCAAACTCTAATTCAGCTACTGTTGGCACAAGTGACGAGTTTGTATTTGTTTTTCCGTTGATGAACCGGAAAACGTAGCATATAATGCGGAGAATCTTAAGGTATGACGACGAATTTTCAATAAGATCCATGAAGGGATTTGAGCACTCATCGGCCACGATGAAAGCCGTCGCGTTCTTCTGCTTCTCCAGCGTTGACTGCTCTTTGGTCGACTCGATATGAGAATACGAGGCCAAAGGGAACAATCTAGTTTTAAGAATCGCGGGCCCTTAAACCAGTGCGAATCAGTCAATTCGGCCGTGGTGCAGCCACGTGAAGGTAATCTTTGGACCAATCGGCCCAAAACCGCTGCTTGATGCCTGAGATCCGCTGCCAGCGTTTTAAGTACGTCAGTTTGACGTCTGTTACGAAATTGGTGGCATTGTCCGAATATATTCGCTTCACTGGTGCACCGTGCACCGACAAACCAAGACAGACACATTATAAACGAGTTAGCAGTCAGGTCTGTCACAACATCAATGTGCACAGCTTGGGAGGCAAAACATACAAAAACCACGACATACATCTTGACCGGGGCTCTGCCACGAATTCCCATCGAGACATGTATTGAACCACAAAAGCCCACTCTGCTCACTTCAAATGGCCGACAGCCATGTAATCGGTCAGCGGGCAAATTTCTCATTATTTGGGTTGCTAGGATTGGTTTATACCTAAAGCAATGCACACACTGTCGCACCACTGCGCTACAAGCTTGTTGCGCATTGACAATCCAAACTTGTTGGCAAAGAATGCTAACGAGCGCACGTGGACCAGCGTGGCAATTAGTGCGATGTAAATACTGCAAGTATAACATCACGAATCGGCATCCCTTTGGCATAAGCAATGGAAATTTAGCATTATGAGGCAATGATGCCTTAAGCAAGCGACCGTCAACTCGTACCAAATTCAATTGACGATTTCCCGTTCGAAATGGACAAATAAATGGATTTAATTTTTGATACGAAGACTGCAGGATCGACTGTTTAGCTTTGAGATCTCGTCTGCAAAAGCTGTGTGTTGTACTACAACTATGTGGACAACTGCCAAAAACGCAAACTCTAATTCAGCTACTGTTGGCACAAGTGACGAGTTTGTATTTGTTTTTCCGTTGATGAACCGGAAAACGTAGCATATAATGCGGAGAATCTTAAGGTATGACGACGAATTTTCAATAAGATCCATGAAGGGATTTGAGCACTCATCGGCCACGATGAAAGCCGTCGCGTTCTTCTGCTTCTCCAGCGTTGACTGCTCTTTGGTCAACTCGATATGAGAATACGAAGCCAAAGGGAACAATCTAGTTTTAAGAATCGCGGACCCTTAAACCAGTGCGAATCAGTCAATTCGGCCGTGGTGCAGCCACGCGAAGCCAGATCTGCTGGGTTATCTGCTGTCGGAGCATGACGCCAAAATCCATCACAAGTAAGCTCTTGAATATTTGCAACTCTATTTGCCATGAAAATATTCAAATGAGCCGGGTGTGTTTGCTGCCAGTGCAAAACTACTTCCGAATCGGACCAAAAAACGACTCGCTCTATTGGCATATGCAAAAGTTGCCTAACTTTGTCCCACAGCGTCGCTAGATGCTGTGCAGCACAAAGTTCCAATCGCGGAATCAGCAAAGCCATGGATTTGGCATTTTTTATTTTTGAAGACGCCGACGTATTAATTTTAATTTTTTTCTTTTGCTGCTGCTGTCGATGGTGACGTTTTATGCTGCCGCAATTTGAGTGACTTTTGGGTTTTTTCACGTTGGACGCCAATTAAGAAGTTCCTGACGTTGGTGATTATTATGTTCGACCGACTAAGGATATATAATTCAATTAACACAGTGCATTGTTGCACTAATAAAAGACAAGAGCTCGTGTATTCCGAACGGTTTAATATCCAAAAGTCAACTAACTGCTAAGAACATTATTTCTTATAACTAAAGCTAGCCCTGTACCTCAAACATGCTGACACTGCTCCTCGTGCATGGTGTCGCATATCAGCTGCTTACATTGCGGAGCGTTGCACTCTGCAATGACGGTTTTCGTTGTGCAATATCCGCGGACGTTGCTGATCTTGCACGCCAGCTCTGCTATGTCGATTTGGCAACTTCTTTGTCGCTGAGTGGTCGTGTTAACTTATATATGATCAGGGTGACAAGACAAGTCGATATAGCCATGTCCGTCTGTCTGCCTGTCCGTCTATATGAACGCAAGGATCTCAGAAAGTATAAGAGCTAGAATAACCGCAATTCATGTTTATTCGATAACTCCCGTAATTTTTGGAATTTTGTACTCAGCTTTGGCAAATACCTCCAGTTAGTGTTATGAGTCCGTATGCCAAGTTTCTTTACGATATTAATATATTCTCTGCCGAAGTTCTGCACGCAGTTGTTGTTGTTACTGCTGCTTTGACTTATTTCTGTACTGCATTGTACATACATGTATAGACACGATAACGTATATGTATGCTGTTGAAACTGTACATAAACATGTCTTCACTTTTGCATCTTTGTATGTATGGATTGAATAGTTTTTAATTAATTTCCTTTTGTTGTGGGTATTTTACTGTCGGGCTTGCTCGACTGCAGCGTTCGCTCTTGTTTGCATTATTGTCATGTGAAACGTGTGCATATTTTGATATAAAATTAAAGGTGAAGCCAGATCTGCTGGGTTATCTGCTGTCGGAGCATGACGCCAAAATGCATCACAAGTAAGCTCTTGAATATTTGCAACTCTATTTGCCATGAAAGTATTCAAATGAGCCGGGTGTGTTTGCTGCCAGTGCAAAGCTACTTCCGAATCGGACCAAAAAACGACTCGCTCTATTGGCATATGCAAAAGTTGTCTAACTTTGTCCCACAGCGTCGCTAGATGCTGTGCAGCACAAAGTTCCAATCGCGGAATCAGCAAAGCCATGGATTTGGCATTTTTTATTTTTGAAGACGCCGACGTATCGGGGTATGCGAATCGACTCTAGTGCATCAAAAGAGCTACTAATACAAGTCTTTTAATAGATGTCTGGGAATTTGGTCATCCCATAAACATTTTTGAAGCCAAAGCTCCTGAATTAAAATGTTTGCTCGCGTAATTATTGGGCACAGCAGCGTTTTGGTATCCTCCTGATGGGCTATAAGAAGGTCGTCAGACGGCTGAATTTGAAACTGTTCGCTATTTGATGACCATTTGGTGAGCATAAATCCAAATGGCTCTAAAACTGAGTTCGACATATAGCAACTGCAACTCCTCCACAGTTTCTGGACCTGATAGCAGGTCATCCACATAAAAATCGTTGGCCAAAGATTTAGAAGCCAATGGATGCGAATCTGTGTGCATCTTACTTAAATATTTAAGGCATCGAATAGCCAAAAACGGTGCCGAAGCGGTACTTTATGTTAACGTGTTTAGAGTGGTTCATAATAGGTCAAAGAATACATCTGCTCCAAGAAGCAGATCAGTGCGTTACGGCCTAAAAAACTGAGGATCTGCTAGTTCCAGATCTTTTGGCACGTCAACGTTGGCAATTTCAGGTTGGTATGGCGAAATAGTTCGAAGTACATCAAATTCTGTCATCAAATCAAAATTTCTACTACGAGACACAATTGACGTCTGCACAATGTGACGCACTGCAGACTTGCGTTTACCAATGCCAAGCAAATTAATATTTTTTCGCTCTCTTTTAAGTTGCATAGTTTTGCCTAGCTCCTCTGTCATAAAATTTATTTGGGACCCTGAGTCGAGCAAAGCCCTAGAAAAATGTTTGGGGCACGATTGATCCATCGATGAAGCGTGCGGAATTGAAGCCTTGGTTCTCTTGTTTTTTCCAGTCGAAGTTGAGCTGATGACGCATATCCTGGATTTGGTTCCATGCTGCCAATACTATCTCCAGCCCTTTTGTCCGTATCGGTCGTACCAGCCATTCCTGCACCAGGAGCTCAAACGCGTTCAACTCATAGTTGAATAAGTTTACCTCGGGTAAGATAGGATTTGTAGTTCCTTCTTGCTGTGATTGTACAGCTTGTTTATTGTGAATTCTCGACATGTTGCGAGTTGCGTACTCAGTGACTGATCCTGTATCACGGATCACACGTTCGGTAGTGCGAGTCGGCAGGACTATTGTTGTCCTGACGAGCTTAGGTTAAAGGACGTTTGTGGTCCTACTGTTGACCAAGTCGGGATCCAAAGTCACTGGTCGTCCGTTGATAACTTGTATACTGACTTTATTCTTACAATTCATGACTTATATAGCCAAGCTTAAAACTAGCTTATGACTATTTACATCTACCGTTTCTATATATTGGTTTTCCCAATCCCTTCTTAATCGAATGTAGGTTGACACCGTCCAGCTACATAAGCTAATCTGCTGGCGGTTTCACAATAATGATGTGCAAGCATTGATCGTGAGCTTAAGTATGCTGGTGTCAGCATACTAAACAAAGCACTGACAATTAGGTTGACTTTATATATATAAGCCTGTCATTTAGATTTTCTTTTTAGTTGAGAAGGCAATGTTTATACCCTGTTTTCAAAACTGTCAAACGAATATATTATGTAACAGTTTAACTCCAGTACTACACTTCTTTTTATATTTTATATATTTATCTGCATTATTTTTTCAGAAAGCGGAATGCCTGCTTCTGCATTATGTACATCACGTTTAAATTCAAGGTAAGTTTAAATAAATAAATAGTATATCAGATAAGCTTATATTTACCTTAAATTCAAAATGTTGATATATTTTTATACGCCTAAAAACTGGTATTTGGTATTTTTTCTGAGATTTAATGAAGAGTGGAATGCAAGAGTTCAGTGGCCTCTTAAGTAGCATGTACCAAGTTCATTTAATTAAATTAAAAAAAGAGGTAAAGCTAAAATCAATGTGCCTGCTTTGAAATGCTCTGTACATATGTGTAGAATAACTTCCAAAATGAAAAAGTTAGGGAAATTAAAAAAACAAAAAACAAATTTGGATAGATCTTACCGATTTTTTGTTGTCGCTGCTGGTCGTTTACCGGCAGTAAAACGAGCGATCCGAGCGAGATGCGTATCCGATTCTGCGAATCCAATACATTCTCAATCAGTGTGGACAGGCAAAATATATCAGCAGCATAAATTTGCGTAACCAATAATAACCAATAACCAATAAAACCAATATAAGTAATAAAACCAATAATCGATTCAGATGGAGTGCGCTAGCCGAAAATACATGGCATTTACAGTGCCTGGGCGAGGTCTATTTCAATGGCCATTTAATCTGCACCAACCACATTCCAACGGACACTAGACAGTGCCATTGACCTAAATATGACCCGGCGCGTCTTCTCGTACCTTAATGACATAGTCATGGTGAGCAAAACCTTGCACAAACATTTGTGTATGGTGTACCTGCGGATAAATTAGGATATTTCTGAGTTTTTCCGCAATTCTAGACGCTAACTGGGGCATCTGGTGACAGAGGATGGTATCCAGACAGATCTAAAGATGGTGCTGACAATACGTGAGTTGGAACTGATGACGAAATTGAATCATTTCCGGCAGTATATTTGCATGGCACTCACCGAGCTTTTTGAGAAGAGTCAAATATGGCCTTGACAAGGTTAACAACAAGAGGCATTTGAAGGTATCCAACAACAGCTGATATAATGTAGAAGAGTATATTAGGTTTTCGTGAGCTGAAAAATATAACAGGCAGAAGGCGGCGTAGCAGACCCTACAAAGTATATATATTCTTGATCAGCATGACAAGATGAGTCGATATATGTCTGTCTGTGTGTGTGTTCGGATGTCAGTTTGTCCGTATGAACACCTGGATCTCAGAGACTATAAGAGATAGAGACACAACATTTTGCACAAAGATGCCTTATGTGTGTACGCTATACGAGTTTTCATTTTTTTTGATTTTCGGTAACGCTCTTCGAATAATCGCCTATATCTCGCCCTCTCCCCCGCAATTCGTGATTTTCTCTAACTCCCGTAATTCTTCGAATTTCAAACTCAAATTTGCAAATACCCCCTTAGTGATTATGTCTCCGTATGTCGAGTTTTATTATGATAGACCGATTTAACAGGAAGTTATAGCTTGAATATAATTGCTGCCGAAGCGCTGCTCGCAGCTGTTGTTGATGTTGGTGCTTTGGTTGATTGCAAACATTAAGCTTGCAGAGCTCCGCTGAGCGTTTTTAACCGTGTAATTTTATGGGCGTGAAGATCGTCGGTCCACATTCGATTTGCGACCGCTTCGAAGTGGTAGTAGTAATCTACTACTAGCTGGCCATCGGTATACCGATGCTTTCTTTATCTGGAAGGATAGGGACGGAGTATTGTGTCTTGGCAGCTTGTCAGCTTTACAGTTTCCCTCAATGTCCTTGTGTTCTGGGACCCAAACGAGGTCTACCGAGAACTGTGCTGCCATCTCGTGAGAGATCTGCGCCAGTTCTGGACTATTTTTGAGTTTGATATTACTGCACTAAGGGATTTAATAGCCGCTTGGCTATCTGAATAGATGCAGATATTTTTAATTTCTGTGTCTATGCTTGGCATAGTAATGATAGCCTCCCGAATAGCAAGAATTTCCGTCTGGAAAACGCTACAATGGTCTGGAAGTCTGAAGGATTTTTTTATATTAAGTGTTTCACAGTAGACGCCGATGCGGTCGTCTATTTTGGAACCATCAGTGATGGCTGTAAGGGGATGTGGTTGTTTCCTCGCAGTATGTTGGCGTGGCCAGCAACTTCCTCTGGCCACTGCTTAGATTCTGTCATGCGCAGAGAGGCCATGGTGGCGTGTGTCATGCCCATGAGCTGAATAGGGAGAATCGTGTCTAGAATCGTGTTTAGAGCATCACTTGGGGTGGTGCTTAGCGCTCCCGAAATGATAAGTTCAGCCTGTCGTTGAACTTTAATAGTCTTAGTGGGGGTGTATTTTTGATGAGTGTCGGCCACCAAATAGATACTACGGAGAGTAGAATTGGATGAATTATCGCTGAATACATCCAATGGACTACGTAGGGGGTCATAGCCCATTTTAGTCCAATGGATTTTCTACAAGTGTAGAGCGCGATTGTGGCTTTTCTTACTCTGTCCTCAATATTTAGGTTCCATTTCAGCTTTATGCCTAGTATTAAGACTACTACAGTATACTTGGCTGAGTTGCTGAACGCTAACGGGACCCCATTTGGTAAAGGAGGACGGAGGAGTGGAATTTTGTTCTTCCTAGTGTAGTACAAGTTCAGTTTTAATGGGGTTGACGCCAAGGCCACTCGCCTTCACCCATCTTGATAATATGCTAAGGGCATCAGTGCGTTCACATAGTGTACGAGGGAATCTTCCCGGAAATAATATTGCTACGTCATCTGCATAGACAACAACACGGCATTCTCCGATGCCTTCTAAGGATTGTAGCAGTAAGTTTACCGCCACGTTCCATAGGAGGGGTGAAGGCCACCTCCTTGAGGGGTTCCTGGACTCACGTATCTGGATATTGTGGACCACCTCAACGTAGCACTAATACTTAGATCGCTTACTTAAAAGCTGTCTAACTAGTTCTACGAAGCCCGTCGTACGAACCCCATCCACTCCCAGATCGGTGAGTGAGCGTGTCATTGTGTTTGGGGACACGTTGTTAAAGGCGCCTGTCTAAGAAGGGGCATATTCCTTGATGTTGAGAGATTTCTCAATATCTGATATGATAGCATGTAGTGCCGTCTCTGTTGATCTGGCTTTGCCGCGATAGCGCGATAGCTCCGAGAACGGGGCTATGCTACGGAGGTAGAAGCCTAGTAGTCTCTCTAGCGTCTACAATAGGAAGGAGGAGAGACTTATAGGTCGAAAGTCTTTTGGAGTTGTATATGAGGCTATGCCCTGTTTGGGTATAAAAACCACTTTTGATCTTAGCCATGATTCTGGAATGCTTCCGGAAGACGGCGGTATCCCCTGCGCGAAGTAGCTGAGCCGGAATAATATTGTCCGGCCCTGCCGATTTGTATGATTTGAAACTTCTTATAGCCCATCTGATGTTGCTGTAATATAGCAATTCCAGAGGTACTTGGGATGAATCAGTGCTTGGCGTGCTACTGGTTGGTTTTGTGCTTGCGCAGCCGGGAAAGTGGTTATTCAGAAGCAGCTTGATTGACTCTTCACTTGAGGTTGTCCATGACTTGTCCTGCTTCTGTAGATAGCCTTATATGGTGCGAGTTTTTGAAAGTACGTTGCGGCATCGGAGGTGCTTTCGATTTCCAAGCAAAATATTTTGCAAGAGGATCGCTTCGCCTGTCTGAATATGTTCTTGTACTCTGACAGGCTGGTTTTGTAAGCGAGCCTATATATAAGGGTTAAGGTAAAGTCAATCTTGCCAGGGCCTTGAAGGGGGATTTCTGGCAATAGATTCCCTAAGACCTTGGAAAACGACTGCCAATTTGTGCGTCTAGGGTTTCTAGCTACAGTCGGTTTTTCGTTTCCAAGAGATAATTCAAATTGAATATATCTGTGGTCTGACAATGAGTGTTCAGAAAGAACTCTCCATTTCCTAATGCTATTACCTCAGTTTAATTGATATATGTGCAAAATTTGTTTTTGATATTACAGGTATTTTAATAGATGTTTTAATGTTTCGTGTCAACAAATTTTATCTCTTTTACTTTGTGTTGCTTCTCATACATTCGTTTCTTATCAGCTCTTAATCTCAAGTACCGCTAGCATTTAAAAGAATCCCAGGTAATGCATTCATAGCAAATTGATAAATGTGCATTTTATCCTTTTACATTTTAAGTGTAAACCACACTTATTATCTCCAGAAAAAAATTTTAATTGTCAAGAAGATTAGATATTAGCGGCTTAATAACCGTATCGTTGTGCTTTGGCGCTCTTAAAATTAATAATTACTTAAAATACCCCGCAAAAACGAGTTTAGCACAGAAAATAAAATAAATATCAAAACTATTGTTGATTATGGCATTAAAGTCTGTGTTATTACTAAAGCAATAAACTAAACAAGCATCGAAATACCGTCTCAAACTCAAATCGAAATACCGTCTCAAACTCAAATCGAAATACCGTCTCAAACTCAAATCGAAATACCGTCTCAAACTCAAATCGAAATACCGTTGGTGACCGCACTTAACGGCATATTGGAGCTTTGGTAACCACCAAAGTAATGCTGATCCCAATTAAGGGCAGGATTAAAGATGCAAATAAATGGGTATCCAAATCCAAAACCAAAGCTATAGCACCGACATAAAATGACCCTCCTTGTAATTTACGAAAAATACAAATCTTGGGACAGGGAAATCAAAAGGGTCATCTTAAGTGATGAAAAAATATGTAATTTAGACGGTTAGACGGGAACCAAAAGTATTGGCGCGATTTAAGCATACGGATCTCCTGGACAGCGAACTTATACTAATTCAAAATGAGTTAAATGGAGAGGATTGGATATTTCAGCAGGATAACGCCCCAATACACGCTGCACGGTATAGCATGCCGTTTTTCCAGACAAGAAATATCGCCTTAATGCATTGTCCTGCAAAATGTCCGGACTTAAATTTAATTGAGGACCTTTAGGACAGCCTATCAGCCAAAGTTTTTAGGTTTGGAAAACAATTTGACCCTTTAAAAAATGTAAGAGAGGTCATTGTCCAGGAGTAACGAAAAATTGACACAATCGTCGTTCAA